TGACATTTAAATTAGCGCACTCTAATGGAGCAGATCATCCTCCATAATGTGGGTGGGCCTCATCTAATCAGTCGAAGGTCTTAAGACCAAGGTTTCTGAAAGAAAGAATTTGCCTTCAAAACTGTGACATAGGAACCCTGCTTAGGTTTCCAGACTGCTTGGCTTGCCCTCTGGATTTTGGACTCAAGGCTGTAACAACACCAAGGTTTTCCTGGATTTTCAGTCTGCTGGCCTGTACTATAGATTTCAGACTTGCTAGCCCCTATAACTGTGTGAGCCAATTCCTTAAAATATCTACCTCTCTTGGCTCTTTTTGGGTCTCAAGCCTGCCAGTTCTTTGACTGGGATTTACAGCAACACTATTGATTCTCCTGCATCTCCAGCTTGGCAATGGTAGACTTTAGGACTTCTCAGCTTCATCATTGTGTGAGTCAATTTTTTCTTTCATTTTTAAAAAAATATTTTATTTATTTATTTATTTATTTATTTATTTATTTATTTGAGAGAGAGAGAGAGAGAGAGAGAGAGAGAGAGAAGAGACACAGGCAGAGGGAGAAGCAGGCCCCATGCAGGGAGCCCGACGTGGGACTCGATTCCAGGACTCCAGGATCACACCCTGAGCTGAAGGCGGCGCTAAACCACTGAGCTACCCGGGCTGCCCTCATTTTTTAAAAAATATTTTATTTATTAACTTGAGAGAGAGAGAGAGAGAGAGAGAGAGAGAGAGAGAGAGCACATGCAGGAGGGAGAGGCAGAGGGTGAGAGAGAAGCAGGCTCCCCGTGAACTCTGACTAATACAGACCTAGATTTCTCCTCCCAAGTGAAAAATCTATTAAGCCCTTGGAAGAAACTGTGTACTTTTGATTTGAAGTTAAGAGCCAATGGTCAAAGTGTTCTGCTGTGAAGACTTGATCATAGTTTAATAATGTGGGGAGATGGAATCTTCCTTGCAGAGCAGGCTAAGGGCTTTGGAAGTCTCAGGCAATGTCTCGGCTTCTTCAGAGCTTTAAGTGGGTGCAGAAGCTTGGAGCTGACTCAGGCATGGTTTTTACTCCTGTTTGGGGTTTTTGTTTTTGTTTTGTTTTGGTTTGGTTTGTTTTCCTGTGTAGAGTGAAGTCAGACCTAGCAATGTTTTGGTGATGTTATTACATCAACAAACTCTGTCATGAAACTTTAAAATATTCTTATTTTAAATGTTGCTCTGCTAAGTCCCCAAATCACAGTCCTGGGGGGAATCATGGAGCTAATCTGGCTTCATCCTTCTCAAATTGTGTCTATGAAACATACATTCCTAAATGTTCATCGGTGGTCCCTGAAGAAAAGGGGATTCCATGACAACGTAAGTTTGGCGGAGACAGCATACACTCTCTCCTTTTTGGAGAATCCAAATGTAGTTCGATGAGGTTTGACTGACTTGGAAGTAGAGACATCAAGTAGACAATTGGTAGTTGGGTGTGGATTTCAGGGACAAGAGTGGAGTTGCACACATAGGTTTGGAAGTTAACATATTTAAAACCACAGACAGAGGGACGCCTGGGTGGCTCAGCGGTTTGGTGCCTGCCTTCGGCCTGGGGCATGATCAAGTCCCAGAATCGAGTCCCGTGTCGGGCTCCCTGCATGGAGCCTGCTTCTCTCTCTCTGCCTGTGTCTCTGCCTCTCTCTCTCTCTGTGTCTCTCATCAATAAATAAATAAAATTAAAAAAAACCCCAAAAACCAAAAACCAAAACCAAAGACAGAGAAGAGATTATTTGGGAGACGGTTTGGAAGGAAGAGGTGCGTGAAGTCCGGAGGTGCTGCAGCTCTCTTGTGACCAGGAAGGGGAGGACCCAAGAGTAGAAGATGAGATCAAGACCTGAGTTGAGACCAAGAGTTGGATGCTTAACCCACTGAGCCACCCAGGTGTCCTTACCTACTATTTTATTTGTCAACACAGCAGAACAGATTACATACTTGCTCAGTAACTTGCATTTTCTGCTCAGTTATGTATGGTTCACATCAGAACACATCTGGCACATTCTTTTTGATGGCGGTGTAGTATTCCACCGCGAGGCCCCATTGATGGACAGGCTTTTGTGAATACAAATGATGTAGCAGCAAACATCCTTGGGCACCTGACATCAGGCACCTGAGCAAGCTCATCTGTCAGAAGCAATAGTGCTTTCCTAAGAGTTGTCAAAGCTTTGTTCTTCTAGTTTCTACCCATCTTCCCAAGCATGGCCCACATTGCCTGCTTCTCTTTCTCTTGACTCCATAAGTACTTACAGTATGGCTTCTGCCCACAAACATACCTAAAGGGCACTGGTGACCTCCTTCCTTAGGGCATTGCCTCTGACTTTTCTGTAGAATTTGACCTCACTGCCCATCCCATCCTGAAACTCTCCTCGCTTGGTTATCTTTGTCTTCCCATTTCTCTAAGCACGCTTTTCCTATGACCTTTGGCAGCCTCAATGTCTGGCGAGAGCTCGTGGGAGTGGAAGCTGCTGGGGCAGCCCTTGGGCTGTACCCAGTGACCTCAGTGCCTGGACCCCAGAGGAATGGGAGGTTTTGATCAATATCTGAATCCACACTCTCTCTTAGGCTCAAACCCTTCATTTAAAAACAAACCAAAAAAGTGTTGTATTTAATTCCCGCATTTTATGTTATTATCATCACTATTTTAATATTTATTATATACCATTTAAAAAATATGAAAAGGTGTAGGGACACCTGGGTGGCTCAGTCGATTTAACATCCGACTCTTGATATTGGTTCAGGTCTCTATCTCAGGGTTGTGAGTTTAAGCTCTCTGTTGGGCTCCAGGCTGGGTGCAGGGCCTACTAAAAAAAAAGGTGTTGGGCGCCTGGGTGGCTTACTGGTTGAGCATCTACCTTTGGCTCAGGTCATGGATCCCGGGGTCCTGGGTTCAAGTCTGCACCATGCTCCCCTCAGGAAGCCTGCTTCTCCCTCTGCCTGTGTCTCTGCCTCTCCCTTTATTTTTTTTTAATTTTTTTTATTTATTCATGATAGTCACAGAGAGAGAAAGAGAGAGAGGCAGAGACACAGACAGAGGGAGAAGCAGGCTCCACGCACCGGGAGCTCGATGTGGGACTCGATCCCGGGTATCCAGGATCGCGCCCTGGGCCAAAGGCAGGCGCCAAACCGCTGCGCCACCCAGGGATCCCTCTCCCTTTATTTTTTAAATAAAATCTTTTTTAAAAGTGTCAATAATAACAAAGAATACAACAAAAGAATAACACAACAAATACCAATGTATCCACCATTTGGCTTCATAAAATATGACCAACACAACTGGAGGCTCTTTTGTACCCTCCCTGCACCTCAGAGATAATCACTGTACTGAATGCGGAGTTTGTCATTCTCTCACATTTTAACTGAGTCCTGAATTTCTGGCTGACCTCTCTGGATATCTCTCTATGGGGATCCCATTCAGTATGGTGAAAAGTAAATGCAAGTGATTCCATTTATATAAAAAGGAAAATGTGCTCTATACATCTACCTATCATCTATCCTTAGAAATCCTTCCAGAAATATCTATATTGGGGTTGACCAAACAGAACACGGCAGCAGGCCTTTTTTCACACTTCTGTGATACATCCAAATATTGTTTACCTATCTGCTCATTTGTGTTTTCTAAATTTTTAAAAAGATTTTATTTATTTATTTATTCATGAGAGACACACACAGAGGCAGAGACACAGGCAGAGGGAGAAGCAGGCTCCCTGTGGGAAGCTTGATGTAGGACTCGAACCTAGGACCCCGGGATCATGCCCTGAGCCAAATGCAGACGCTCATCTACTGAGCCACCCAGGTGCCCGCCCTTGTTTCTAAATTTTCAACAGTGGAGCATGGATGACTTGACTATGAATGCCCCAAACCTATCTTCCCTGAAACCCTCTTACCAACTGAGCTTTAACCCCAGAAGTCCTTATTTCTGTTGGAATTCCATAGTTCTTCATAAGTGTGAAACCTGGCAGGCATGCTTGATGCCCCTTTCTCTCTTTCTCATTCCTTCAGTGTTTGAGTGGATTTCTATTGCCCCTGTTAGATTTTAAGTTCTTAAGGGGGTTCAGACCTTATGTGTCTCCCTGGGGGCCTATCACACTACACAGCTCGTGAACAGATGGTCCCAAAGCGGTTATCGAACCTTCCTGCCTGATGCTTCGGGCTAGTCTACACCTTGCAACTGTCACCTGGCTTATTTATAGAAATTTCCTCTATAAATAGACAGTTTCTGTTTCAGGTATGGTTTGCTCTTGATATTTACGCTTCGATCTCTTACCCTCCCCGGGCCTCAAACTTCAAAACCGGAATTGGAGCTGGTATTCAAATCCTTAGTCGAAGTACAAAGAGCGCCCAGAAGAACTAAATCATAGTTGTGAAGTTCTTTTTCTTTTCTTTTTTTCGCATCGACATTCTAACTGCTGTCACTACATTTGCTGGGGAATTCCTGACGAGATTTTACTTGTCCTTCCATGCTGTTCTTTCTGGGGCTTTCTTGTTTCTCTTTGTGATCAAGTTCCAGATGGCTCAGCAGTGCTTCCAAAATGAATATTTTGACAGATTGCTTAATGCTTGCAAACCATGTCACCTTCGATGCTCTAATACCCCTCCGGTACCATGTCAGCATTATTGTAATGCAAGTAAGTAATCCTGCTTGAACAACTCATTCGTTGGTGTAACCTATTTTCTCTACTTTGACTACTTATTCAAAGAGTAAAAACATTGCGGGGAAGATGGTGAGGTCTTCTGTATCAAAAAGAGAAAGGAAACAAGGCAAGTATTTGAATGCCAATGGGACCAAAGTAATTACTCAGAATTGAGCTCAATTTGATGCAGTGCTGTTAGCAACATGGATTTTTATCAACTCTTCTAATTAAGTGTTATTTAGGATTTACGAGTCAATGCTGATGAATTAGGGGAATTGGATGGCAAATAATCTTTACTTGATGTGGATATTATGTTGTCAGTTCATTATCTCTCTGATATTCTTTTAATTCAGTGAAAGGAACAAATGCAATTCTCTGGACCTGTTTGGGCCTGAGCTTGATAGTTTCTTTGACCATTTTCGTGTTTATGTTCTTGCTAAGGAAGATGAATTCAGAACCATCAAAGGACGAATGTAAAAACACAGGTTGGTTGAATGGTCAGACTTTGGAATCTATTTCCAAGAGGTGGCTATTGTGATTTGAGTTCCTTCTCTTCTTTTTTCCTGTTGAGTTATTTCTTTGGTTAGAGCCCTTTCGAGCGTGTTAGAGGACGGTTGTATTAAATGAACTTTGGGGCAGTAGAGAGCTGTCTTCTTTTTGGTGTTTGTCTCTTCTTTGTAGGTGCCCCACAGAGTTAGCCTTCCCCTATAGTTTTCCCTCAGTAATTACTCTTCTGAGGTACTGGGCTTCCTTGGCAAACATCCATCTCTTTGACCAAAGTTAGCACATTGATTAAACGTTTACTTACTCTCAAGAAACTACAAGCCCGGTCTGCTACTATCTGCCCGGTATTTTTAATACAAATGTAAACATTTTGTGCTTGGTGAATATTTTACTGCCCCCAAAATGCTAGAAATGAATAGAACCAGTTGTTCCTGGATTATTTGAGCAGTCATTTTAAAGATCATTATCTTTATTAAGCAGCAGAGAACCAGTCTGAGAGAAGTGAATGTTCTACTTAAGGGCTTTTTAAGATAAAAATATTTCTGCAGCACCTTTGCCCATGATCTGATTTCTCAAATGCTTTGCAGCCTTTGGCCTATTTCTGATGCATTTATTTTCCATGTATAATCTGTAAAGCACCTCCCTCATTTGTCTTCTCATTTGCAGAAAAGGGAGGTAGATGGCTGTTCCACATAATTTACTCATTTTTCTTTTTTCTTTCTTTCTTTCTTTCTTTCTTTCTTTCTTTCTTTCTTTCTTTCTTTCTTTCTTTCTTTCTTTCTTTCTTTTTCTCTTTTTTTTTGCCTGGGGTCTGAGAGACAGGTGGGGAATGACTTTAAGTGTGACATTTTGGAAGATGGAGTTATTCTGTGGCAGGTTGGGGAAGTAGTAAAACTTACCTCCACTGGCATATAAATGGGGACATAATAGAGACTCCTTCCATACATGATCACAAAAAAATTCATTATAAAATTTTTTTTAAAAGATTTTTTTATTTATTAGAGACGTAGACACACACACACAGACACACACACACAGGCAGAGGGAGAAGCAGGCCCCATGCAGGGAGCCCCATGTTCGACTTGATCCCAGGTCCCCAGGATCACACCCTGGGCTGAAGGCAGTGCTAAACCGCTGAGCGGTGGGGGCTGCCCAATATAAAAAAATTTTGATATGATAACAAATGGTCTGTAAGAGAAGTATCCTTACTTTGAATTCTAAAGTGTCCCCCAAAGGCTCATTTTGTGTGTAACATACGGTAATCTGTCATTTCCACAAGTGTAAAATAGAGCCCATAACTTAATGCCTTCAAGGGCCAAGTGGGTAACCAGTGAATGTAGCGGGCCAGGTGGAGGTTTCAACAGTTGAATAGCCAGGGCCCTTCCTCAAGGAGACAGCGGCTATTGACTTCAGGCAATTGCTTCCACGGAGGAAGGTTAGCTATTTGTTGTTTTTTTGAAAGAGACCAATTACCTAGATTTGCACATCAAATCCCTTGAAGGCTTTTTTTTTTAATCTCTTGATTTTTATTTTTTTTAAAGATTTATTTATTTATTTGTGATAGACATAGAGAGAGAGAGAGAGAGAGAGAGAGAGAGAGAGAGAGAGAGAGAGGGAGAAGCAGGCTCCATGCGGGGAACCGATGCGGGACTCGATCCCGGGACTCCAGGATCCTGCTCCAGGCCAAACGCAGGCCCTAAATTGATGAGCCACCCAGGGATCCCTAAATCTCTTGATTTTTAAACGTGGACCAACAGGGGGCACCTGGGTGGCTCAGTGTTTGAGGATCTGCCTTTGGCTCAGTTGTGATCTCCCGGTCCTGGGATCCAGTCCCGCATTGGGCTCCCTGTAGGGAGGGAGCCTACTTCTTCCTCTGCCTGTGTCTCTGCCTCTCTCCTTGTGTCTCTCATGAATAAATAAATAAAATCTTAATAAATAAATAATAAGGGATCCCTGGGTGGCTCAGAGGTTTAGTGCCTGCCTTTGGTCCAGGGCGTGATCCTGGAGTCCCGGGATCGAGTCCCACGTCGGGCTCCCTGCATGGAGACTGCTTCTCCCTCTGCCTCTGTCTCTGCTTCTCTCTCTCTCTGTGTCTCTCATGAATAAATAAATAAAATCTTTAAAATAAATAAATAATAAATAAATAAATAAATAAATAAATAAACAAACGGAGGCCAACATAAAGCATATAAGCAAACACTTAAAAACACTGTATGGGCCTAAACAAAGTCCAATGTGGCCTATGGTCAGTTCCTGACTCCCAGTGCAGGACATTTGTTTTGTAGGAGATCTGTCTCCATTGATTTGGGCCCTAAGGTGTCCTGCTAAGACTGCCAGGACGGCACCACCTGGGAAGTTGAGGTTAATCGTTCTGTTTCTACACAATCAGGATCGGCTCTCCAGAACGAGGCGGATGCTGACCAGGAGAAGGGCCGTGATAGCAGGACCGGTGAGGAAATTCTCTCGAGGGGCCTGGAGTACACAGTAGAAGAATGTACCTGTGAAGACTGTGTCAAGAGCAAATCAAAGGTGGATTCTGACCATTTCTTTCCACTCCCAGCTATGGAGGAAGGTGCAACCATTCTTGTCACCACGAAAACAAGTGACTACTGTAATAGCCTCCTGGCCAGTGTCACAGAGATGGAGAAATCCATTTTTACCAGATGATTAACCATTTCAACTGGTCAGAGCTGCTTTGAGAATCTTAACGTCAGAAGGAGTAATCTCTTTAGGATGATTGTACTTATCAGTTGCGGATAGAGCTTTTTGTCTTAATTCTAGAAAATCTTTATGTTAGATGTACTTCCCTACCTTATTGTTGGGAGCTTACCTGTGGAAATTTCCTTGGTTTCATGATTAAATTCTTGACTTACTGAAACAAAGCACTGCAGTGTGTAGATCCCATAGTCCCACATTTCTGTGGCTAGCCCCTTTCTGTCCTATACACACATATATGCATACGTTTCAGGCCAGATTTGATTATTATTATTATTTTTAAAGATTTTATTTATTTATCCATGAGAGACACAGCGAGAAAGACAGAGACATAGGCAGAGGGAGAAGCAGGCTCCCTTTAGGAAGCCCAATGTGGGACTCCATCCCAGGACCCCAGGATCATGCCCTGGGCCAAAGGCAGATGCTCAACCGCTGAGCCACCCAGGCATCCCTGATTTTTATTATTAAAGAAAAGCAAGGTTATCTATGTATTCCTGGAGACAGAAGAAGCCTAGAGTCAGCCACACTAATTTAGTGTGCAGTGCATGAGTACAAGGCTCAATCACTTGTGAGCTTTCAGCTTAATGGAGACATCAGGCATTATTACAATCCCATAAATAAATGTGTAACTGCAAACTGTGATAAAGGTATAGCAGGTATCATTTTAAGACCCCAATGCAGGTAGTAATAATGATAGCTAAAACCTAGCCTTCCTAGGGCCCCCTGGGTGGCTCAGTTGGTTAAGCGTCGGACTCTTGATTTCAGCTCAGGTCATGATCTCATGGGTCGTGGGATCAAGCCCTGTGACTCAGGCTCTGTGTTCAGGAGGGAGTCTACCTGAGATTCTCTACCTCTCTCTCCCTCTGTCCCCTCTCCCCCCACCTCTCACATTCTTTCTCTAATAAATAAATCTTAAAAAAAAAACCAACAAAAAACTTAGCCTTACTAATGTGCCAGGATTGTTCATGCTTCATCTGTACTAATTTAATGCATACAATAAACCACAAGATAGGTGGACAATTATTACCTCTATTTCAGACAATGGCAGAAACTGAGTCAGAGCAAGGTAACATAAGCAGTAAATAGCACAGCCAAGATTTAAACCCAAACATCATGATTTTTTTTTCTTTTCACATCAGTTGAAGTCCATTTGAGTTCCTCATCTCTTTGAGCTATAATCTTAGTCATAATTGGGAAGGAGGGATTCCCTTTCCGGGGTTGTGCATAGATCCTGAGGTGTTAGGAAAGGTTATGCAACAGGTAATGATGGCCTCTGGTAATATGTTGACTTTGATTGTTGTTAAGATGTCCCCTGGCACCATAGCATAGACTTCAAAGTTTTGGGGCTGTGTGGCTTCTTCTTTTTAAAAATATTTTTATTTATTTATTCATGAGAGACAGAGAGAGAGAGAGGCAGAGACACAGGCAGAGAGAGAAGCAGGCTCCATGCAGGGAGCCTGATATGGGACTTGATCCCGGGACTCTAGGATCACACCCTGGGGCGAAGGAAGGTGCTCAACCACTGAGCCATCCAGGTGTCCTGGGGCTATGTGGGTTCTGTGTTGGGTTTAGGATATGGCGTAAACTTGGTGAGCCCTTTTTGCCCATTGGGGGCCCATAATGGTTCCATTCCAGACCCTTGAGGGCTACAGGAGACAATATAGTACAATGGTTAGGCACTGGCTCTTTTTTTAAAAATTTTTATTTATTTATGATAGAGAGAGAGAGAGAGACAGAGAGAGAGAGAGAGGGGCAGAGACATAGGCAGAGGGAGAAGCAGGCTCCATGCACCGGAAGCCTGACGTGGGATTCGATCCCGGGTCTCCAGGATCGTGCCCTGGGCCAAAGGCAGGAGCTAAACCGCTGTGCCACCCAGGGATCCCAGGCACTGGCTCTTAGAGCCAGATTGCCTGGGCTTGAATGTTGGCTCTGTTACTAGAAGTTATAGACTTTGGGTGACTGTGAGAGTTACTCAACCACTTGTGCCTCAGTTTCCCTACCTATACAATGGGAATAATAATAGGATCTACTTATAAAGTTGTTTTAAGGATTAAATAAAAATACATAGACACATTCATTTGCACACATACATGTGTGTATATATATTTACTTTTTTTCCATGAAAGTACTTGGTTCATAATAAATACTTTGAGTTACATTGCTGGAATGATGTTTTTTTAAAATTTAAATTCAATTTGCCAACATATGGTATAAACACCCAGTGCTCATCCCATCAAGTGCCCTCCTTAGTGCCCGTCACCCAGTTATCCCATCCCCCAATTTTTCCCACTCAGTTCCCCTCCTTTCCCTTATAATCCCTTTCACTATTTCTTATATTCCATGTATGAGTGAAACCATAGATGATTGTCCTTCTCCAACTGACTTATTTCACTCAGCATAATACCCTCCAGATCCATCCACGTCGAAGCAAACGGTGGTTATTCATCTTTTCTGATAACTGAGTAATTTACCCCAAAGATACAGATGTAGTGAAACGCCGGGACACCTGCACCCCAATGTTTATAGCAGCAATGTCCACAACAGTCAAGCTGTGGCAGGTGCCACTATGTCCTCTGACAGATGAATGGATAAAGAGGATGTGGCCTATATATACAATGGAATGTTATTCAGCCATTAGGAGTTACAACGTTTAAAGGGAGTGGTTGGAGGTAGAAAACATTACAGCACAAGCTACGAGGTCACTAACTTACCCAGCCTCAAGTGCCATGAAGGTAAGGTAGGGGGCGCTCTGAGAAGGTAAATCACGTTATCCTCCCCACAACTCCAAGAAGCAGGTATGTGATGCCTTCCTGGGGGTTACTGAGGCTGGAGGACCTAAACTAAGCTTTTGGGGGTGGGGAAGTTGGAGGATGGATTTAGGCACGTAGATTCTTGAGGATTACAAATTAACAACTGTAAAGTATAATTTTGAAAATGGCAAAGATAACCCCACCAATCAAACACACAAAAATTTTCATCTCTCCATTCTCTCAGTACCTGCCACATGTGCCATTTCGACACAATTGTTAATCATTGCATACAGAACACTTTGCATGGGACTTTTTTTTTTTTTTTTTTTTTTACTTAATGCATTATCGTGAGCTTTTCCCCATACTTCCATCTTATAATTTGCATTTTCAACTACTGCAAGAGATTCCTCATGAAGTGGGCTATGATTTGCTTAGTTATTCTTCCACAGTTGGGGTTTGGTACTTTCCACTCTTTCACTGTCATAAATAATGCTGCATGACAGCCTTCTCCAAAGAGCTCTTGACTTCTCCTGAATCCAAAAGATAAACTGCCAGCGGCCAGAGGTTTTGTGTTGAGACAGTGTAGTAGGAAGACCGTGGAGTAGTAGGTCACACAGAACTTGGCTGGAATTCTGCCTCCACTTACCTGCAGGGCCTAGTCCTCAATTCAGTGTATTCAACGTGGATCAGGATTTACTAGTGGATCATTCAACTGTCTCCATTAGCATAAAAAAAGAAAGAAAAATAGAAGAAAATACATTACCCATGTAATTGTTTTGTTAAACATCTCCTTAAATGTATGCATGTGTACACTGGGTTGGAATGTAAAATGTATTTGTTTACTCCAGGTTTTGGGAAAAACCAGTTGGAAAAATGCCCTTTTAACCTATCTGGGTCCCCTCTCCTCCATGTCCAAAACGGGGCAGTAACCTGAGCTTCATGTTATGAACACGTGTTGGCCCAGCAGCATCCATCCACCTTCATCTCCAACGCCGCCGTACCCCAGACATACTATTTCTTGTTGGGCAACCGACTGCAATGGCTTTCTAACCAGGTGCCCCTTCTCCACCCTGCCCCACTACAATTCATTCTTTTTGTTTTCTTTTGGGTGGCTCAGCGGTTGAGCGTCTGCCTTTGGTTCAGGTTGTGATCCCGGGGTCCTGGGATCGAGTCCCATATCGGGGTCCCCGCAGGGAGCCTGCTTCTCCCTCTGCCTGTGTCTCTGCCTCTCTGTCTGTGTCTCTCATGAATAAATAAATAAATAAAATCTTAAAAACGAATTCAGATCGCGTCACTCCTCTGCTTACATTCTTCCAACGGCTCCCCATTCCCTTACCTACTTAAAGCGGAAAAATCCGAGACCCACAAGGCCCTCCATCCAGCTCTCCGACCCGTCTCTCACCCACCCCTCGAGGCGGGACCTTTGCACCTGCTGCTCCTTCCTGGGACACCTGTCCTGTGCATCTTCCACGGCCGCCTCCCAGCCGTCGGTCAGGTCTCCGCTCAAAGGTCGGCTCCTGAGGCGCCCCCCCCCGCCCCGCCCCCGGAGATGCCCGGTTCCCACGGCTTGGCCCGTTACCCGATTTCACTTCCCTCCTAGCCCCTCCCGCTCCCCGGGACAGTGCGGGCTCGGTCTCCTCGTGGCGGGTGCGCGGCCTCCCCGGCGGCTCGGTCCAGGCGCGCCCCGCGACGGTCGCAGCGCAGCGGGTCTCCCACCTGCGGGCTCCCCCGACCGCCCCCCCACCCGGGCCGGCCGCGTTTACCTTCCGGGTCGGGGGGCGGGCCCGCGGCGGCGGCGGCGCTCCACTTCCGGGGCGGGGCGGGGCGGGGCCGGCGGGCGGGGCGGCGCGCTGTCTCCCGGCCTGTCTGGAGCCCGGCGGCGGCGGCGGCGGCGGCAGCGGTGGCGGCGCAGGCACCGGGAGCGGCACCATGAGCGGTGAGTGGCGCTTGGCCGCTGTCACCCGGCCGGGCCGCCCCGGCTCCCGCCGCTGCAGCTGCACGCTCCGGCGCCGAGCCCCGCGTCCCGCCGGCTCGCAGACCCCCCGCCCCGGGCACCTGCGCTCCCCCGGCGTCCCGAGCCGGGGCTCCGGTCCCCGCCTGCGGTCCGCCGCTCGCGGCCAGCGCCTGGGCGCCCGAGCGCAGACCCCGGCCCTGCAGCCCCCCGGCCCGCGCCCTCCGACCTCGGGCTGCCCCGACCCCCAGCCCAGCCCCGGGCCCCCTGCCCGCCAGCCATTCCCGCTCCCCGGGCCCCCCTGCCTTCGCCCCGGTGCCCCCCGGGGCAGGGTGCCGGCCCCGGACACTTCGTTTGCGCCCCCCGGGGCCCCGGGCCCCCGCCCCCGGAGGACCGACTTCTCCAGCCCCTTTGTCTTCCCCGCCCCTCCCGTCCCCTCGCGCCCTGTCCCCCGCCGCTTTGCTGGTCAGCCCCCGGCTGTCCCTCTCTGGTCCGGGCTCCTTACATTTTCGTCTTTTTTCTTTCTCTTTTTCTTTTTCTCTCCATACTCCTGCTCCTTTGCAGTTCTTTGAGGTCTCTCCGCCCTGCCCTGCACCCCTGCCGTCCTTGTCCCCTACTGAACCCATCCGGGTGGCCCCTTCCCCGGAGGCCCTTTCCCAGCAGCGCCCCCCCTCCCCGCCCCCCAGCAGCCCCCTCTCCGCCCCCTGCAGCCCCCTCCCCACCCCCCAGCAGCCCCCCAGCAGCCCCCTCCCCGCCCCCAGCAGCCCCCCAGCAGCCTCCCTCCCCGCCCTCCAGCAGCCCCCCAACCCCCGCAGCAGCCCCCCAGCAGCCCCCCTCCGCCCCCTGCAGCCCCCTCTCCGCCCCCAGCAGCCCCCAGCAGCCCCCTCCCCGCCCTCCAGCAGCCCCCTCTCCACCCCCAAGCAGCCCCCCAACCCCCGCAGCAGCCCCCAGCAGTTCCCTCCCCGCCTCCAGCAGCCCCCCAGCAGGCCCCTCTCCGCCCCCAGCAGCCCCCAGTAGTTCCCTCCCCGCCTCCAGCAGCCCCCCAGCAGGCCCCTCTCCGCCCCCAGCAGCCCCCTCCCCACCCCCCAGCAGCCCCCCAGCAGCCCCCTCGCAGCCCCCCAGCCGCCCCCTCCCCACCCCGCCCGCAGGGGAGGGGCGTGGTTACGGTGCGAGGCCGGGAGCGGGAGGCAGGTGGGTGTGGACAGCTTGTGCTCCGTGTTTCTGAAGTTTAGTCCCTAGACTTGGCCGTGGATTCCCAGCCGTCCTCCGAAGCGGTCTATTGGTGTTTTGGTGCTAAGTCATTCCTGGGTGTTTGAGCGTGGAGAGCGGCTCCGGGAAGCCGCGCAGCCCGCCCCGCCCGGGATCTGGGTTTGCTCGGGAGGACCCGCCTCCCCTCAGGCCGCCCGCCTGCCCCGTAACGTGGACTGGCCTCAGGAGTCCCCGCATCCAGCTCCAGCTCCCTTGGCCCTAGCCTTGCACCCCGGCTGTCTGGAGGGGGCGGGGGGGGGGAGCCAGGGCGAAGGGGCTGTGTCTCTCTGAAGTTTTGACTTTTGAGTTATCTCCATGGATTTTATTTTTTAAGATTTTATTTATTCATTAGAAACTGAGAGGGAGAGGCAGAGACACAGGCAGAGGGAGAAGCAGGCTCCACGCAGGGAGCCCGATGTGGGACTTGATCCCGGGTCTCTAGGCTCACGCCCTGGGCCTAAAGCAGGTGCTAAACCGCTGGGCCACCCAGGGATCCCCCGGAGGAGGAGGAGGAGGATGATGATGATGATTTTTAAACAAGCCATGCACCTTCTGTTTTGCTGGTGTTCAAGAGCAAGATTTGTGAAATTGTTGGTCCTAATGAGGGAGCTGGGAAGGGGGCTTCCTGGAAGATAGTCCGTCCAGCCTCTGTTGTCAGAGCAAATGATTTTTTGGCCTAATTGGATTTCTAGGTCCTTGAACATTAGTGATAACTGCAACAAAGAGGTGGTGAGCTGGTTTCCACCCAGGAGATAGTAAAGCCTGGTTTAAGCGCAGGCCCTGGAGCCAGGCAGCCTGAGTTCAAATCCTGACTCTGCCACGTAAAGCTGTGTGATGTAGAGTAAGTTACTTGACCATTCTGGAAGTCCCAGCCGAACTGGGATAAGTCATATTACCTGTCATCAAGGCTTGCTGCAGTGACTAAGTCACTTTATACAGCTTGGTACTGTGCTTCTCACATGGTATGTATGCAGGAACTTGGACCAGTCGTGGTTTTCATAAGGACCCTCTGAGGTTCAGGTGGGGTTGTTTTCTGACCCAGCTCTGAGACAAGGGGCTGGGGCTAAGTATGCCTTGAAAATCTCTTGCTTTGATTTTTTTAAACATTTTTAAAATTTTATTTAAGTTCAATTAATTAATATATAGTGTATTATTAGTTTCAGATGTAGAGTTTAGAGATTGCATATAACACCCAGTGCTCATTCCATCGCATGCCTTCCTTAATGTCCATCACCCAGTTACTGCATCCCCCCACCCACATCCCCTCCAGCAACCCTCAGTTTGTTTCCTATAGTTAAGAATCTCTTACAGAAAACCTCTTGCTTTTAATATGACTAAAGAGACTCTGTCTCAAGCTTAGGGTTCTGGACCATTCTCTTCCTTTGATCACAAGAGCAAGTGAAATTGACAAGCCAAGGGAAATTGATCAATGTGTCCTTCAAGAAGCCACTTAATATCAAAGATAAGGAGGCTTTAAAATTTAATTTAAAAAATCATTACAAAAGGAAACCAACAGATGGCTTTTTTAAGGAAAAAGTTCAGGATGAAAGCCTTCTTTTGGAAAGATTGTAACTGAGGCAGAAAAAGTGGTTGCTGAGGACAGAAGGAAATTGCAAGGTATTTTCAATTTCTTCTCCCCCCCCCCATAGAACTAATTGAAATACATCACTGTGTAAGTTTAAGGCAAACAGCATGATTGACATATGTTGTGAAATGATTACCATAATAGGCTCAGCTAACATCCATCCTCTATGGATATGATGAAAAGAAAGAAGAAAAGAATAATTTTTTTTTTCCTTATGAGACCTCTTAGGCTATACTCTCTTAATGTCTTCCTGTATGTTGCACAGCAGTATTAGTCATCATGTTGTACATGACATCTCGAGTCCTTATTTATCTTATAACTTGGAAATTTGTACCTTTTGAACCCTTTCCTCCTATTGCCGCCTTCACGTTTCTTGAGAATGCAATTGAAATAGTCTTCCCACCCTTGGAATTGATGATCAGCATACAATAAAATAGTGTTGCTTGGAAGTATTTCCTCTCTTTCCTCTGTCCTTTTAAATGGAAAATCTCAAACATCTCAGTGGAGAGAGTAGTGTAGTGAGCATTCATCATCTCATGACCATCCCCTATATACTTATTTCTTTCTTACCTCTGTCCCCAGTTTGTTTATTTATTTATTTAAAGATTTTATTTACTTATTCATGAGAGACACAGAAAGAGGCAGAGAGAGAGGCAGAGAGAGGAGAAGCAGGCTCCATGCAAGGAGCCCAATATAGGACTCTATCCCAGGACTCTGGGATCACGCCTGGAGCTGAAGGCGGCGGCTCAACCCCTGAGCCACCCAGGCGTCCCATGTCCCCAGTTTATTTTGAAGCAAATCCCAGACACTGTATCCTTTCATCCATAAATATTTTAATATGTATCTCTAAAAATATAGGGACTTTTTTTTAAAAAAACATAGCTCAATTTCATTATCATAGCTATACAAAATTAGCAGTAATTTATATCATCAGATATTCAACATTCAAGTTCCCATAATTGCCTTATAATTTTATAGTGTATTTTTTAGACTCAGGATCTAAATAAGGTTTAAACAGTGCAAATTTTTTTTTGTCTTTTAGTTCTTTTTTTAACTTTGTTATTCTTTTAGTGCTTTGTATATTCACAAAGCTGTGCACACATCATCATAATCAGTTTTAGAACATTTTCTTTAGTCCAAAAAGAAACCCTGTACCTGTTAGCAGTGGTTTCTCATTCTCCCTCCCCTTATCCCCAGGCAACCATCAATCTACCCTATCTTGGATTTATTTATTTGGTATATTTCATATAGATTGAATCATATAATATGTAGCTTTTTTGCATCTGGCTCTTTTCACTAAGTATCTTGCTTCTAAGCTTCATCATATTGTAGCATGTAACTATACTTATTACATTTTGTATTTGAATAATATTTCATTGTATAGATATTCTACATTTTATACCATTTGGCAGTTGATGGACATTTGACTTGTTTCCACTTTCTGGCTCCTCTGCATATTGCTGCTGTGAACATTCACCTACAAATTTCTGTGTGGGCATGTGTTTTCATTTCTCTGGGGTTGATATCTAAGAGTAGAATTGCTGGCTTCATTTGAGGAGCTGTCAGACTGTTTTCCAAAGTGGCTGCACCAATTTCCATTCCCACCATCTCTGTATGAAGGTTCTGGTTTCTTCACATCCTTGCCAACAGTCTTTTTGATTATGGCCATTGCAGTGGGTGTGAAGTGGTATCTTTATGTGGTTTTGATTTGCATTTCCTTAATGGTCTGTGATGTTCAGCATCTTTCCATGTGCTTATTGGCTATTTGTGTATATCTTTGGAGAAATGTTTGTTCAGATCCTTTGTCCATTTTTAAATTGGGTTTTTTGTTGTTGAGCTGTAAGAATTCTATATAATTTCTGGATAAAAAAAATTTCTGGATACAAATCCCTTAGATATATCTTTGACAAAAATTTTCCATTTTTTTTTTTTTTTACTTTCTCAATTGTATTCTTTGAAGACAAAACATTTTTTTTTTTTAAAGAAATGAGTTCCCCTTTTATCTCTCTCTTTTTACCACTCACAGTTTTTGTTGAAGGAAATAGTTCATCCTGTTACAGGATAGACAATTTGTGGGATTTTGCTGACTGCAACCTTCTGGTGTGGTTTGACATGTTTCTCAGTCTCTTGTATTTCCTATAAAGTGTCAATT